TGATTTTTTGTTCTGGGTCTTTGATGCCTGATACCTGCTCCCATCGACACCTCATGATCACACAGGCTGGTGTGCTTCTTCCATGTGGGCTTTGTTGCTTTTGAGCTAGATGGCCGCTTGTTTACCTTCTAACCTTTAAGACCCCAGATGCTATATCTTTTGATAGCCGAACACCATCAGCTTTCTTCACCACATTTGCTACGCACCCATTTTATCTTCAGCAATCGTGTCAGGAAGGTGAGCATCTGGGAATGCCAGGTTATTAGAACAAAGTGTTCTTGCATTGAGGGAGTACTTGAGTAGAGGCTCAATGTCCATTGTCTACCTTGATACTTAACATATAAATATATGTACATAGATCTAGTTTCCTATCATTATATATAAATACATTTACATATGTACATGCCTTTATGTAGACCTCCATAAATTCCCTTTGCCTCTTAGTTCTTTCCTCTATTTCCTTTTACTTTCCTCTTGTCCTACTATCATGTTCGGCCTTCATTCAGGTTTCAGTAATTCCTCTTGGATACATTGCCTGATCAAGCCCTGCTAGGCATCCTACGCCCTCCTCACCATCGATTTTAGATCACTTGTTGTTCCCTTGACCCTGGGACAAAAACAAGGCAGAGTAAAACAGAACAACAATAGAAAACCAAAAAACAAACAAACAACCACCACCACCAAACCCCCCAAAGAAAAATCTATAAAGAGTTCCAGGTCTGTTTGTTGAACTTTAGGCATGTTTTCTAGCTGAGTCTGATGAGGTGCCATGCCCTGGCCTCAAAGTCTATTTTTGGTATTCCCCAGGGACTTCATTGCTTTGCTCTCCTTGCTGCTCTATTGCACACACTTAGCGTTTCACCCCAATTCCCACACTGTGTCTCTACTGCTGTTCCTCGTAGTGATATGGGTGGGGGACACCTTGAGTTTTCATCTGGGTAGTACCAACTGTAGCGATGCCACTGATTATGTGAGCACTGCTTCATTTTTGGTACAAGATCGTCTTGTATATACTTCACCCTAGCCATGGAATTGGCCATTCTTTAAGAAGCCCGGGCATTTCTTTTAGTGAATTTTCTAAGGCAACATAACATCCTATTTCAAAACCAAGACCCATCACTTTTTAGTTAAATGACTTAGATTAATTAACTGTTAAAAACTCTAGTTTTTAACCTGGAAAATAAAGATAAATGGTGCATATAGCATAGTGTTGTTATGATAATTAATTTAGATAATTTACCTAAAGAACAGTGAACTTCACATAATAAATTGACATAAATTCTGACTGTTGTTGCAATTCTATTTCCTTTCTTTCCCTTAACAGAATGTTCTTTTAAAGAATTTTTGAAGAGGAAGTTCTTTTTTTTTAAATGGCTTTACAGAATTCTAAATAGAATACAACTCGGCATAATGGAAAAAAATGTAAGTATTGTGAAATTGTAAATATCAGTATTTTTTAAATGAGCTGTATTTTTTTCCTATGCATACTTCCCCACCATTCTAATTAGTCAAACTCTGCTATCGGGTATGGATTTTTAGTTTTTATTTATATTGAATATGAGATAATAAGCTCAGAAAAATGCTATGGAATACAGTATTCTAATGGCCATAGTAGTGTTCTAAAATTGCTTTTTATTTTACATCATTTTATTGGGGGCTCTAACAGCTCTTATAACATTCCTTATATCAATTGTATCAAACGTATGTGTACAAATGTTGCCATCATTATTTCTAAAACATTTTCTATTTGAACTCTTGGTATAAGCTCCTCTTTTTTCCCCTCCCTTCCCCACCCTCCCACCCTCGCGAATCCTTGATCGATTATATATTGTTTTCATTATTTCGTATCTTACACTGTCCATTTTCTCCCTTTACCCACATTTCTGCTATTTGACCCCTTCGGGGTAGGGGGTTATATATATCCAATCTTGTGATGGGTTCCCCCTTTCTCACCCTTCCCCCTCCCTGCCCCTACCCTCTTGATATCGCTGTTCCCAATACTGTTCCTGAGAGGTTTATCTGTCCTGAATTCCTTGCGTCAAGAGCTCTTACCTGTCCCAATGTGTGTTTTCCAGTCTAGCCAGATTTGTTTCCTTGCGTCGAGAGCTCTTATCTGTCCCAATGTGTGTTTTCCAGTCTAGCCAGATTTGTAAGGTAGAACTGGGTCTTGATAGTGGGGTGGAGGAAGCATTCAGGAACTAGAGGAATGATGTGTGATTCATTGGTGCTCTACTACATCTTGGTTGAATCATCCCTTCCTTATAACCCTTCTGTAGGGGGATATCCAGTTGTCTACAGATGAGCTTTAGGTCTCCACTCCAACCCCCCTCATTTGCTTCGATATAGTTGTTTGTTTTGGCTCTTTTGATACCTGATACCCGATCCCGTCAACACCTCGTGATCACACAGGCTGGTGTGTTCCTTCCATGAAATTGCTCTTTTATAACAGCTGCAAAATTGCTATCTCTAGAAAGTTTCCCAAGCTCCTCCTTTTAGGGGTACTGTAGTAAATTCGTTGTGGTACTTGCTGGAGACTCACTTGGCCTTATTAAGCAAATCACTGGTTTCTGTGGCTTAACTTTCCCTTTTGAAGTTGCTCAGGAAAATGTGTATGCTCAGATAGTGTTCAGATAAACTTGCTCTCTATGAGATGATTCCTGAGGTGACACAGATCTTTCAATATTTTGGAGACCCTCAATCTGCTTGAGGCTATCATTTTTAATAGACTTCCCTTCAAGTTATTTTCTTGTTGTTAACTCGCCTCAATATTTTTTCCTAGATTTAAACACACAAAAAATGCATTGCATTGAGCGGATTCGAACGCATAGCGACCTGGTAGGACAAGGTATAACTGTCCTTGCGGGTTTCTGAGACTGTCACTCTTTCTGCCTTTCTTCTGATAAGTGACTGGTGGTTTTGAGCTGCTGACTTTGTACTTGACCACTAGTCAGTAATCCAATGTATAGGATGGAGGGCAATTAAGTTGTCTTACTGTTCCCAAATTAAGGAACCCTGGTGGCACTGTGGAGTGCACATTGGACTGGTAACCACGAGGCCAGCGGCTCAAAGTCACCAACTACTCTGTGGGAGACAAATGCGGTGAGGCTGTCTGCTCTCATAAAGATTTACTTTTGGGATTACTGTATTATTATATCTTATCTTACACTGCCCGGCGTCTCCCGTCACCCACCCTTCTGTTGCTCATCCCCCAGAGAGGAGGTTATATGTATATCCTTGTGATC